ACACCTAACTTTCCAGTTTCCGCCAACAGATCTAGAACATATTTCCTTTGGGAGATAAAGATCCCCTGTTTAGATCTAGCAACCTCAATATCCAAAAAATATCGCAGTGCACCAAGATCTTTCACCTCAAACTCTTGATGAAGAAGCTATTTGAGGGACTCAATCTCACTACTATTATTCCCTGTCACTACAATATCATCCACATATACAGCAAAGCAGGGTCAAAGAAGAGTCCACCCTTTTAATGAACAGTGTATGATCTGACTGGGCCTGTACATAACCGAATTTTCCAAGGGCTAGYCTGAATCTATCAAACCAAGCTCTAGGGGACTGCTTTAACCCATACAATGCCTTATTCAATCGGCAAACCTTCTTACCTGTCTTTGTATCATAGAATCTAGGGGGCAACTGCATGTAGACCTCTTCCTGTAAGTCTCCATTCAGAAAAGCATTTTTAACGTCCATCTGGAACAAGGGCCAAGAATGACTTGCTGCAAGGGCTAATAGAACTCGAATAGTGGTCATCTTGGCTACTGGGGCAAAGGTCTCCAAGTAGTCTATACCGTAAGTCTGAGTGAACCCTTTTGCAACCAACCGGGCTTTGTACCTTTCAATGAAGCCATCAGCATTATGTTTCACAGTAAATACCCATCTACATCCAACTGGTTTCTTTCCTTTGGGTAGGTCAACTAGCTCCCAAGTATTATTTTTCAAAAGGGCATCCATTTCAACTTTCATTGCACCTTTCCACTCTGGAACTGATAAGGCTTCTTGCATTGTTCTGGGGACAGGGATATCAGCAATGGAAGTGAGATAGGACCTGTAAGAGGGAGACAGGCGATCATAGGATAGAAACCGGGAAATGCAGTGAGTTGTGGATGTGGTGCAGCGCCGTTTCCCTTTACGGACCGCAGTAGGGAGGTCAAGGTCATCCGAAAAAGGAGGGGAAGTAGCAACAGTGAAAGGTATCTCAGTGGGCCCTGGGACTGTAGTACCTGGATCTGGATCCGCAGAAGGAGCTGGGGCTGGCCTGGACTGCTGATGACCGAGATCAACCTGCCTGCATCGCCTATGATAGACTTTCAACTCCTGATCCCTCGGACAACCCTCACCAGTATAGCCTTCATCACTCAATAGAATGGGTAAAGGAACAACCTCAGATGAGTTAACCCCACTCTCACTGCAATCCCCCTGAGGAAAAAGACCCAAATTCTCATTCTCACTACTCTCCCCCTGAGGAGGAACCCTAGGATAATAGGGTGCCTCCTCAAAGCAGGTGATATCCATCGAGACAAATCTCCTCCTTGAAACAGGATCATAGCAGCAATAACCTTTTTGAGTTTGTGCATAACCGAGGAAAATGCATTTGGAGGCCTTGGGGTCAAATTTTGAATGATGAGGTCCAAGAAGCTGAACAAAACAGGTGCACCCAAAGGTTTTAAGAGGAACAGTAAACAACTCCTCGTCTGGGTATAGAAGGATAAACGGAGGCTTCATATCAAGAACCTGTGAAGGAACCCGATTTATGAGATACACTGCCGTGAGGATAGCATCACCCCAGAAACGRATAGGCACATTGGAGGTAAACATAATGCTTCTAGCCACCTCCAAAATGTGCCTATTCTTCCTCTCGGCAACCCCATTCTGCTGTGGTGTATGAGGACAAGTGCTCTGGTGAATAACCCCATGATCAA